GACCGGAAAGAAAACCCAGGGAGAGAAAAAAGCGCATCAAGATCCCAGCGAGTCGCAGCAGGCACACAACAGAGTTGAGTTGACTTCTAACTCGTCAACGGTGTGTCGTCCGATTGCAAATGACAGGCATCCCCAAGGGCCGAGGCCGTTTTTGGCTTGTATAGACGAAACAAGGAAGAGATCGTGGCGCCCTCGAGCGATATTGAGCAAGTAAAGAGCCTGGGGTTCTTGGACGAACACCCGGCGACGTCCCGATCGCAAAGGAGGGTGACGGTGACGAGGAGGAATGGAACAGCAGCAGACCTTGGTTGCACGTGTCTCGGTGAAGACGACGGGGCAGACTGGGACTTACCTTGGGTAGGTTATGGTTCCTGGCACGCAAGTAGCCTCTAGGTCGGCGCCAATCTCGTGGATCTGGATAGGATGATGGCTACAGGAGGGGGCGTGATGGGTAAAAGACGTGGGAGGCTCGATGCTCTGCCACGAGGCCCACCCGAGTGCGTCAGATGCCAAGCCCGACGGGACGGAAAGGGAGGAGAATAGTTGGAACACCCGACTGTGCGACGGTTGGACAGCAGCAGCAGCGAGAAGGAAATCAATGATCCATGTGTTGCGCGAGGGCGGCGAGGCATTCAGGACGCCTCAGCCATAGGCAACCCATCATCCATAATCCATAATCCATTTGACTCCCATCTTTCGATTCCATGTCTGTGCTGGGTTCCTGACAGAAAACTGCTCGGGCCTTCCTTCTTTGGACGCCACAACTTGCTCAAAGTCTCTCACTCCCGCTGCAATGCAACGCTAGCGACCCCACCAACTTGCTCACCAGCCGCCCAGATATGGCCTTAGCGCCACATACACGGCGGAGGTGTGGTGGGGTCCAGCGCACGGTTACCAGATTGGGACGGCGGGGAGACCCTGGCTGGCAGCTCGACGAAGCTTGGCTCGACCTCTGTTGGCTAAAGCCTGAAGACATCAGACCAACCATGGGGGTTGCCGAGGGACGCGTTGCTGCTCACCAGCCCAGGCGAGCTGGGAGATACTCTGATACCTCCTGAGCCCAGACCAGATACACAAGTTAGTTTGCGCATGTTTCCGTATACCTACGAACCCGCCATTCCATCATGCGGCAAAATGCCGAAACAGCCTCACCACCAACCAAAGAACGGACAGTGGCTGGGCAAAAACCCCGACCGTCCCGGTGGCTTCGCAGTAGACGGGCGGACTGCTTCGGTGCCGCCACCAGGTACCACCGGCACATGAGGTACCACCGCCCCGCATATTGAACACCAGCGCTAACGCCGACCTTCCCAGCTCCTCCTGCCTCATACGCAATCTCCAAGGGACCCCTGACAGCCACAGACCCCACTACGCGACTGTGTGCATGTGCCTGGTGCTAATATGTACCCGCGCTGGCCATCTTTTTCTTCTCCTTGCGCCTTCGTCCGTCGCGTCTTTCTTAGTCCAACAGTGTAGATACTAGCAGGCAGGTTGCCGAGACGAAACAACAAGTCACCATCTCCCAAGCCAGCAGACGCAGCTTACCTTGTGTTCCCTGGCCACGGCCCGTTCTTCCCGTCTTGTTATACGTGAAACCCTGTCTTGGACGGCCCGAAAAGACCAGTGCGTTGCTCCCCTGTCCCCTTCATAAGGTGGCCTTAGGCCCTGCCGCCAACCGCCAGCGGCAAATAATTATGGCGGTGCCTTGCAATTCTAACTTCACCACCTTCCCCGCAGGCCTCATATTCTTCCTCAAGCTCCGCAAACGAGAAGCGAGAAGCGATGGCACCATTTGCATCGGTCGGCGCCGCGGCGCTCCTCCTGGTCGCGTCGGCCAGCGCCCACTTCACCCTCCGGACGCCACCGTCCATCGGATTCGACGACAGCAAAGAGGGCGAGGGCCCCTGCGGCGGCTTCAAGCCCGACTTCGACAAGGGCAAAGTAACCGACTTCCACGTCGGCGGCGAGCCCATCGGCACAAGTCAAAGCCACCCATCGGCCAGGTGGCTATACCGCGCAACCCTGGACCAGACTGCTACGGGTGGTTGGACACAATTGTACCCAATAGTTCTGCAGAACTCGCTGGGTTTCATGTGCCAGCCCTCGGTGCCAGCCCCCGAGGCCTGGGTGGGCAAGAGGGGAGTCGTCGGCGTTGTCGCCAACGGCGACGACGGGCTACTCTATCAGGTCAGTCAGCCACTCAGTTGCCACGCAGTCTGGGGGGACGAGGTCCGGACCTTCTTGGTGTGATACGGCCGCCGAAGCCGTGTCACCTGGCACTCTCGTGTGAAGAACTTGTCGTGCAACACTGGGCCAATTACTGACCACACACCGCTCCTCCTTGCAGTGCGCCGCTGTCAACTTCGTTTCGGGCCAAGGCAAGGCGGATGGAAGCACGTGCCAGAACTCGTCGAGCCAGATCGTCTTCACGTCTGACCCTCAGCTCGCGGCACTCGCTAGTGGTTCCATCTCGTCCCCGGAGGCCCCTCCAAATAATACCGCATCCGGCGGCAGCGGTGGCGCGTCTGGTGGTGGAAGCAAGCCGAACAGCGCTGCGGTCGCGATGGGCAATATCCTGGCAGTGCTCGCTATAACAGGGCTAAGCGCCACTTACATTCTGTAAGCTGAAGGGCTGCAGGATAGGATGAGGCTGGCAGAAAGATTGATCGATATGTTTCATAATAAGGATGAGTGCTTCGAAGCTCTTTGTTTTGCCGTATGTAACAGAAAGCGGTACGCAAAAATCCAATGGGATGTAATGTTCAACGACAAGGGCGAAAAAGCCGCCGAGACATGGGCGCCCGGCTGACGAGCGCGCGGCGCATTAGTTTCACTCCAACTTATCTATTACATACTTATTAGTATATATCCTGCTTTAATGTCCGATATCATCCGCCTCTCTCCATAAAATAGACAAGATTTAAACAATCCAGCCTTGTTATGAGGTGGTAAAAAACATCCACGTTGGATGGACTTTTTCATGTTAAGGTGTGCGCGTATGCAAAACACGGGAATGTGTGGATAACGTGTGGGGCATGTGCAGCTGCCGCATCCAATCACAAAGTCTTGCGCCAATCGATTCACAAGACCCCGCGGAATGCCTGGCTTGTTACTGCCCCGCCGTGGGCCAGCCAACAGAGCTCAATCCAAATAGAGGGGCGTGGTCTGTAGGTTTTTTTCAGGAAGAGAGAAAATCGCACGCTCCCGTGACTCAACACCCTGCACGCTCTAGATGACTCCTCTCTTCCGACTGCGCGCTCCGTTGATCCCACGCCGACTACTTAGAGTCCAGAGTCGATTGCCCATTGCCACCCCCATCGCAGCGCGAGCCGTTGCCCTCTCCTATCGCACCCCAAGCGCCCACTGCTTCCACGACTCGGCGACAGTCGCGACAACCTCCTCCTCGTGCGAGCTGCCCTCGATCGTCGCAAGCCACCCCCACCACCTCGCACTCTCCCGGTTCGCCGCGGCCTTCGACATGGCCTCGCCCGCTGCCGTCGAGCAGCTGGCCCAGCTGGCCGGTAACCTTTCGCTCACCGACGACCAATTCCCCAACTTTTGGCCCGAGTCCAACCCGCTCGACGTCTACCGCGCACATCTCACCAATATCCTGCATGCCATTACTGGCGTCGATATCAAAGTCATCTACCCGGCAGTCCAATGGACCACTGGCCTTGACAAGGGCGACATGATTGTCGCCATCCCTGCCCTCCGTGTCAAGGGCCGGAAACCAGACGAGCTGGTCAAGGAGTACAGCGAAAAGGTGCGCATGCAACACGTGCTAGCCATGGCGACGACAACGAACACACTCGGATGCCGCAAGGTGTCGTATCTGCAGGGGCTCACTCTACTTTGATGCATCACCATACTAACGGCGGCTATTTGCCACAGTTCCCCCAAGACGACCCCTTGTTCTCCAAACCAGTCGTCAACGGCTACTTTCTGCAGTTCTGGTTCAAGCCCGCCCCCCTGACCTCGGCCATCGTCCCAATGATCCGCCAGCAGGGCAAGGACTTTGGCGGCAACAAAAGCATGGGCCTTCGCGACCCCAAAGACCCTAGCCAGGGCCGCAAGCGCATCGTGATCGAGTTCTCGTCCCCCAACATCGCAAAGCCCTTCCACGCCGGCCATCTCCGCAGCACCATCATCGGCGGGTTCCTCGCCAATCTTTATGCCGGCGCCGGCTGGGATGTCACCCGCATCAACTACCTCGGTGATTGGGGCAAGCAGTACGGCCTACTTGCCCTTGCTTTCGCCCGTTACGGCGACGAGGAGGCCTTGGCCCGCGACCCCATCAACCACTTGTACGAGCTCTACGTCAGGATCAACCGGGAAATGGCGGAGGAGAAGGAAACGATCGAGGAGCGCAAAAAGGCGGGCGATGACGTGACGGGATTGGAGCAGACGAGTCTCGATGAGCAGGCGCGCGCCTACTTCAAGCAAATGGTGGAGGGCGACGCCGCCGCGGTTACGCAGTGGCGCCGGTTCCGTGACATGTCCATCGAGCGCTACAAGCAGACATACGCGCGCCTCAACATCCACTTCGACGAGTACAGCGGCGAGTCGCAGGTAACAGAGGAAGCTATGGCCCGGACGGCCAAGGAGCTGGCCGACAAGGGCATCTCGACCGAGGACCAGGGTGCCGTCATTGTCGACTTTTCGAAGCTAATCCCTGGCAAGGAGGGCAAGCGGCTAGAAAAGCCCATCATCCGGAAGCGCGACGGTACAGCGCTGTATCTAACACGTGATATCAGCGAGCTGCTGGGGCGCCACGAGAAGTACAAGTTCGACCACATGATTTACGTTGTGGCGTCGCAGCAGGACCTGCACTTGAAGCAGCTCTTCAAGATTATCGAGCTCATGGGCCACAAGGACATCATCTCCAAGGTGCAGCACATCAACTTTGGTATGGTGCTGGGGATGAGCACGCGCAAGGGCACTGTTAAGTTCCTCGACGATATCCTCCGCGACGTTGGCGACAAGATGCACGAGGTGATGCGCAAAAATGAGGACAAGTACGCCCAGGTCGAGAACCCCGAGGTCACAGCCGACACTCTTGGGATCAGCAGCGTCATGATCCAGGATATGGGCGGCAAGAGGTGAGTCGCGACAGCCAGCACCTGCGCCTTTGTCTACCGTCTATCATTCGTCTGGCTTCTGGGTGCCGTTTCAGGGCTGCCCGAGATCAGGAGGCTCGCTAATCTTGTTCCCCCCGTCCCAGGATCAACAACTACAAATTCGATATTAACGTCATGACGTCGTTCGAAGGCGATACTGGGCCGTATCTCCAGTATGCGCACGCTCGTGTCTGCTCAATTGCACGCAAGGCGGGCCTGACGCCTGAGGAACTCGCGTCAGCAGACCTCTCGCTGCTTCAAGAGCCGCACGCGGTCCAGCTCGTCAGGATGCTGTCGCAGTGGCCCGACGTGTTCCAGAACACACTCAAGACGTTGGAGCCAACGACGGTCATCACGTACCTCTTCCGCATGTCGCACGCTCTCAGTCAGAGCTACGACCATCTGCGCATCATCGGTTCCGAGAAGGAGCTGATGAAGGCGCGGATGGCGCTCTACGATGCCACGCGCATCGTGCTCAGCAACGGAATGACGTTGCTGGGTCTCAATCCTGTCGAGCGCATGTAGGAACCATCGGGCGAGGAAGAAAAAAAAGCCCCCAAACGAC